AGGGGGGATGGGGAGGCAGGGGAGGCAGGGCTCCTGTGGGGAGCGGGAGGAGGCAGGGCGCTTGGGGGAAGGCAGGGGCCCCTAGGAGGGGCAAGGGCACCAGGTCGCACGGTCCTGATGCTGGCTGAGTGTACCCAGAGGATTACCCATCAGGGGGTCCTCCAACACCTCCTTAAGTCACCCTGAATCCCAAATGTAGGCCCCACTTTACAGGTGGGCAGACTGAAGGTGCAGAACGAGTGACTTGAGCCGATATAGGCAGGCAGTGGCGGAGGTTAAGGCCATTCACTTACTGGTCAGAGTGGAGTTGAGAACCGGCAGGGGAAGGGCTGGGCCAGCCCCCCAGCTCACTGCTACCTGGGCAGCTGTGGGCAGCCACCCACAGCCCTCAGGGAGGTGAGGGCTGTGCTGTGGGGAGGGGTGACCCTGCCCCTGAGTCTAAGAAAAGAACACACAAGGAGCTGAGGGCACGGGGACTCTGGCCTGTGGGGACGGGTGTCCCCAATTCCGGGAGGACCCCCTACAGCTGGGAGGGGGTGCAGGGCCAGCGCTAGGACAGTATGACGACCAGCTGGGTTACGGAGAGCAGCGGGGGAAATGCCCTTGATGCTAAAGTAAGAACTTGTGCTGCTACAGCCACTGTTTTGGTCAACGCCATGGCTGCTGTCTGTGCCCCAGACTCTCAGCCCTGGGTCTGGCTGGGAAAGGGAACCAGCAAGCCCTCACTCCCTTTCCCCTCCAGCCACATCCGGCCTCCACTTGGCCAGGGGGCACCACCATTTGGGTACTATTGAGGGTGACAAGGAGGGGCTTGAGAGGTCTCCGCACACTTTTGTTGTAGGTGAAATGTTTTGCAAATGCAATTTCTGCCCTTTCTCGAACTCCATGTAAGCGCCTCCCCTAGCCCATCCCGGTACCTGTCCCATACGGAGCCTCCTACCGACCCTCTGAGCCTCGGGGTCCTCTGTAAAGTGGGTATATTAGAGCGTCCGATTACATGTAAGCCCCGAGCTGAGCTGCGCGCCGCCCCAGGCTGGGGC